TGCACGCTGGAAACGCTGCACGCTGGAAACGCTGCACGCTGGAAACGCTGCACGCTGGAAACGCTGCACGCTGAATACAATTCGATGCCTAATATCCCATACGACCCCCAAAGTTCCGTCATAGACAATAGAACACTAATCCCATAAGAAAGTTCGGTCGGAGAGATGCATTCATGCGTGAAAACTGTACGAAACCGTGTCGTATTCAAATAACTTTTTTGAAGACACATACGATTTTCAGGTAAATTAATTGGTGGTGTCATATGATTAAGGGAGAATCATAGACGAAAACAAGGTAAAGTTTGAATATATTTATTCACATATTGATAGATTATTTACCAGTTGAAAACTATGCAAAACGCTGTTAAAACCGAGTCATAGACTCATACTCTTCTCTATTATCCACTCTTGATATTATATATATATATCTTGATTTTATTATTTGTACATATTAAATTTACAGATATTTATAATTTCAGAAGAGGATTTGGATGCACTATTTAAGAAGAAGATAGTCACCAAAAGAAAAAAAGATGCAAACACATCTCTATTAACTGAACAGTTGGACAAATTTCCCTCAATGCAGTCCAATCCTTTTAGTGAATATGCCAAGTTTAACGGTCAGGTGGGTGTAACACGTGAGGTGTTGAGAATCTTTAGTAAATAATACCTTTCAAATCTCTAAGAGATTTTGTGACAATCAGTTTGATTCGGTGTAAAAATAAATGCTGTGTAGACATGCAGAGCAACAATGTGAGAAATGTCTTCAATGTTAATACACAGAAAATTCATATCACCTATCTATATTGGAATGTACATTTGCATGCAAATAGACTGGAAACCCTAATATCTTCTTGTAGACTCAAGTAGGTATTCCAACAAAGAAAATCAACATCTTCCTCACCATGCTTCCTGAGGGAGAGCGAGAATTTCCGCTTAGCGTTTGCGTCACCTCCAATGCAAAAGTGTCCGATTTGATAGGCCTTACCTTGTGGCTTTACTCCTGTGACAACAACGCAGCTTTTCTCAGGTATGTGGACTGAGCCAATGAGATCAGTGTAATTATGGCAACACTTGCTTATTTATAATTAGGCTAACATCTTTGCTTATTTATAATTAGGCTAACATCTTTGCTTATTTATAATTAGGCTAACATCTTTGCTTATTTATAATTAGGCTAACATCTTTGCTAATTAAATGGGAGCACACGTTGCTTATTATTAATTAGGCTAGTAACTCTTTGCTTATGTTATAATTAGGCTAAACATCTTTGCTTATTTATAATTAGGCTAAACATCTTTGCTTATATTATAATTAGGCGGTCGCAGTTAACATTTTGCTTATTTATAATAGGCCATCAACATCTTTGCTTATTATAATTAGGCGGCAACCATCTTTGCTTATTTAATTTAGGCCTAACATCTTTGCTTATTTATAATTAGGCTAACATCTTTTCTTATTTATAATTAGGCATAACATCTTGCTTAGTTTTACAAAAATTTTAGGCTAATAACATCTTTGCTTATTATAATTAGGCACTAACACTTTGCTTATTCTAATATAA